TGACTGTTTTGAGATGTTACAGAAAAGACAGCTATAGACCAAAGTTCCAGGTATAGACCAACAATGGACAGGTACTGTGTAGCTTTCTTAAAGTACATCTATCCAGAAATGCCCCAGTACCAAACCAGCAAAGAGCAGCATTTACATTTCGTCACAGACAACCAAAATACAAAGTCAAACTTATAGACTAAAAACAATACAGTGTTTCTGTCCTTGTTCAACGTCACGACTCCTGCTCCGTACGTCGTCAGAAATGATCAAATCTGTAGCCTCTTAACCTGTCAACAGGCATGCCCTGTACATTTGCATCAACTCAGGATATAGACCCAGAATGCACTTACATATAAATGCACGTTGTTGGCATTAACTGACAATGGGATTACCCGTTTAAAGTCTCAATGGTAATGCGTGCTTTTTTATTCCACAATACCATATAATAAAATATCACATTAACTTTCAATTGATCCAATGACATATAATAAAGACGACTGCAACATATTGCCATGAAAATAAATGTAACTAATAATGCGGTGTCATTATATAGATTTGCATGTCAATTAAACAAAAACCGGTTTTAACATGTATACCAATAGATGTCATAAATGTGATTCGATGACATGATCAATATTCATGCCAGAACTTAGAGACCTCTCAAAAAGACCTTGTTGTTTGACGTAGCTTTCCTTAAGAGGCGTAAACGAAAATGTAAAGTACTATTCAGGGAATAGGTATGAATATTATAGCCTGATTGATATGGCTTGGCAGCTGAAATCATTCAAGAACAAGCAACACGCGATTGCTTGCTACTTTGGTATCATAACAACATTTTAGTAGAAATTGCATTTAACTGTGAACAACAAAAGACTGATATACCGAAATCGTTGACTGTTGTCAGTAACACAATGTTCAACTGACATACCTTACACTTCAATAAAGTCAACAAAGCTTCATTATCACTAAACGTACCGATAAGGTAAAAATGAATATTCTGTGACTGATTTTCATTAGCCAAATAAAGAATGCTGTAAAGAAAACAAACTGATTAATTTATATTTTTCTTTACTGAATAGTCAAAAATGTTTACCTTAGTGTTGGAAACAACACACAAAGAAAACGAGTTATTACGTCCAACACTTCGCGAAAACAGTTTAAACAATTAAAATGAAGTGCACGGAAGCATTGTGTACCATAGAGTATCCCGATACAGGTATCTGTACAAATCAATGTAAACATTATGTCCAGTTTTGAGTGAAGAACAATTTCGGTATAAAACATAACACTTCATAAGGATTTCTCCCTATTCCACTGTCCCATTATATGTATTGATTTAACCCCTATTTGTTTGGTTGTCATCATAACTGGCCTCTTGACCGGTTGGAGAGGAAGTCGTTTAGTTTTTAAGATGTCGCTCTATTATTTTACCGCAGTAACATGGCGTTTTTGTTACAAAAATCCAGCGAGAAAGATTCCCCCTCTTTCAATGGAGCTGGATCTAGGAGGCCAATCAGTAATCTGAAGTAGAAACACAAGAAGATAATACAGAAGTGTCAACAACACCATAATTCGAACTTAAGATTGATATAAATAAACAGCAAAATGTGAAAAATAGAAAGATTTATATGGAGACGCTTAACAAAGTACAAATATATTACGACGAGGCGCTCCTGAGTGGTCTTCTGTTTCATCGGCGATACCTGCTGTGTATATTCATCCACGTAAAGTAATGTCCCCACATGGAGAACTCGGATAGTGACAACAGAACCACAAGACACTCTAATGAGCATAATAAAAAGAACCTCGTCCTTCATGTCACACAACGGATTGCCAGAATGCCTTGCCAGATCCTGATGGCGACCATTAAACGTGTCCATTATCTTAATTCAATATACCGCATCCTCAATACACATGTACAAATCTTAACACAAAGTCGACACGACAACTACAGGATATAAGATACACAAAACGTCCCTCAATAAATACATAATAATAAAATAAGCCACGTAATCATGTGCATCCGTTTTTTGCAGCCTCCAGTCAAACAATAAAAGTATATCGGTCTCTTGTAGTCTCTTTCTTTCTTTTCGGAAATTTCAGCATATAAGAAAGAAAGTGTTTACATAATGACCATAAAATACAAACGTAGATGATAAGTTAGTGATACTGCCTCTACACAAATCGTGTATCGACATGTGCATACGTTGCATAATTCACGTAGGTATGTCATTGTTTCCCCCAGCAGAATAAACCTGACATACACGTATTCAGGAAGTGATTATCAAGAATGCAAAAGTCGACGTAGAATGTCAAACAAACTAAATTTATAACGCGTCAAATGACCAGTTCGTTAAGTTATGACTTACCAGTGTCAAAGTATCAAAATGTGATACCACAGATTAGTGAATAGTAAAAGATTTCATAACTGCATGTTGTTCCTTCGGAAATACAAATAGCTTTACTAATCTATGAGAAAACCTTTCATTTGTCACACAGTTATTTGTTCATTAACTCCGTTCCGAGATTGACAACAGTTCATGGATTCTTTCGAGGCCCCTTGTCGATAGGGAGCTTCAGCTAACAGTACCCTTCTATAACTTCCCAACGACTAGGAATCGGAACGACGCACGTTTATACAGTGATTATGGTATAGTTTATCAATTTGTTCTGTATAACAAACCAGCTGTCAAATGTTAAATGGCAATGATGCAATACCATGTGAATCGGTCCGACTTAATCACAACCGCCCTCCTAAATTTCTACACTGTTAATGATATATAGGATAGTCAGCATGTATTTCAACGGCCCATATTCTGTCAGTTGCTGCCTCCTAATATTACAGGTTAACACAAATATTCAAATTTCATAATGCCTTTTTGATTTTTGTCAATTTTTGTTTTTTGTAACATATTCAGGTTAAGTGTTTTAATAACTGATTCCGAGTATCTTATAAACAACTGATTCAAATGTACTATCTATACTCATCTGATTCAAGTCTGGTGTGTTATCAACTTATTCAAATGAAGTGTCTTATAAACCTTGTATCAAAGCTACATTGTAAGTCTTTTGATTAAAGCTTAGTGTCTTAGTAACTGATTCAAAGTATCGTTTAAACAGTTGATTCGGGTGAAATATCTTATAATTTGATTTAGGCAAGGTGTGTCTTTAAACAGATTCAAGTGAATTGTCTTATAAACCTTTTCATAAAGTTAAGTGTCTTACTAGCTGATTCAAGTTAAGTCTCTTATACACAGTTGATTTAGGTGAAATATTTTATAAAGTGACTTAAATCAGATGTGTTATGTTTTGTTACCAATCATGTTAAGTTTCTCATATACAAATTAATTTTAGTCGTGTATAACCAGTGGAGTCAAGTTAAGTGTCTTATTAGCTGATTCAAGTCGAATGTCTTATACATTAATCTAAGTAAAAGTGCATTTTAAGCTTATTCCAGTTTAGTATCATGTAAACCGTTGTATTTGTATTAAAATGACAGCTGATGAACATGGAATCTTCCGCATTGAGCAGTTGAATGAACTAGTCTCATAAATCAGTCTATCTATTGATTTAATTAATTTTATAAACCAGTCCATCCGCACCATATTCTGCTTTCTTCTTTAATGCGTGTATGTGTGTATATATATATATAATAAAAAGGGATTAAATGTCCATGTGAAGGAAGTAAATATAGAAAAAAATAAGATTAACGACCGACTAAAAAACTAGCTGCTTTCACGCTTCACAAGGTTCTTCTTTTAGTCGGTCGTTAATCCTATTTTTTCTATATATATATATAATGCAGTCTCCCTTTATGTTGTCGCTGACAGTATGCATAATGACAAATGTTAGAATTGTGATTCGGTAACATTATCAATAGCCGTGCCAAAGATTTAAGGATTGTCATAAACGCCAAGATGTTTGACGTAGTTTTCCCTAAAAGGCAATACCGGAGCGCTGCGTCTCTATTCAGGGCTGAGTATGAATATCGTAGCTTGATTGATATGATTTGGCAGAAAATGCGAGGTCATGCATAAAGATGACGTTGGTTTTGCTGCTTCAGCATGTCTGTATTGGTGGAGGAACAGACATGGCCACATTTGTATACTTCCTTGAAAAGGTTAAACTAATCTTTATGTTGCAGTGATGTTCATGATTCATTACTTAAAGTTTGATATGCCTTTAGCGAACTCCAGTAAGTAGTAAAATCAGGGGCATTGGAAAGATTTCTCGGGTCATTAAGAGGGTGTCCTTTCCGTTTGTGCGTGCTTCATATTCTCAAAAACTCGAGTTTTAAGCTCAAATACATATCTCAAAGAAGCAAATGCTATGTAACAAGTCTTCCACAAATGCTTTTGTACTTAATAAAGAACTAATTATAGTTTGGATTACATTAACACGTCTTACTAGGGTACTTATTAACTGGTGAACAGAACATACATTTGACTCAGATGACGAAAGGTAAAAGTTCATAAAAACAAGATGGCTTTTCAATGATCTAGCACGAGCGCCTGTACGCTCACGTTATAGTGTAGCATCCTTTCTTTGTCCGTTCATCTGCCTACCATTCGTCCATCTTTCAATTTGAACAACTAAAAGCTCTTTGGCCTGATACTTGGCCAGTAGATATATGTCAACTATATGGATATCAGTCATTGTCCAAAAAAACGTTTTTTTTATATTTTAATAGATAAATGCACAATTTGGGTATTTTCTTAACTAATTCAAATGTGAAGATATCTTAAGGCGTGGCATATCTATACGTTTCTAAGTGGCAAACAAAAACTGAGTGATGTGGTATCTATACAAATTGGAGAAAAATACTGCGCGATGTCTAGGGTGTAGGGAATTTACAGTGATAGCAATTCGGTTACTTGGCTTAACCAAACATTTTACAGTGTAGAGATTTCATACCGATGCCGACGTTTTTATTGAAATTCCGTACAGCCGGAGAGGGATCGATTTCCTAGAAACAAGAGAGAGACTAAATGCCGTCACAGATAGCAATGCCGTTCACAGTGACAGTATGACAGACGCTGTCAATTGCAGGTGGAGTGGGACACACATTCATTCACAGAGCACTCACGTCATCGGTAAGTTGACAATCTTAAACACTTATTTTTGTCTGAGTGTTATAGAAAATTACGATTTTAATTATAAGTATTTCACTATATGACATATTACCTTTTTGCTGGAACTTATGTGTCGTGATTTGTTTTGATATCAATTGATTTGTTTATATACTCAACCTTTATTCTCAAAGTGAGTTTTAATAAAGGTCGTCATTAGTTTATTATTACTGTTACACAATTATTGTTATCGAGGGTCAGTAAGCGTTATAGTGAGGGGCATTCTTTAATTATAGGTGACTCGTATATTTCTTTAATAGATAATGGACAAACTCTGCAACGCATATTTTCATAACAAAGATCCTTGGGAAGTCATGTTTATTCATTTAAACATATCTGCCAAATGTCAGAATGATACCTCCATAAAATTCTTTCTGACTCGGTATGATTTTATAATAGGTCATCATATGACAGCCATTGGCATATTTCTTTTTTTGTAATTAAATACCATTCAACTTTTATGGTTTTTATCTTTGAGGTTAGTTACTCAATTTCAAATTTGATATTGAATTTGATACTGTTAATATTGAATATTGAATAACGATCAATCTAACCAGAGCAGACAATTAAGACCAATAGAAGGTAATGAAATGACATCAAACTAATGAACACACCAACAGTTTTTAGGTAGATTAGGAATTAAGAGTTATTCATTGTTTCGAAAAGGGATCTGGGATTTTACATTATTTTAAATAATTATAATATTTGCCATTTGTTAAATCTAGTTTGTATTCATTATATGCATTGTGCGTACATATTTGAACATTTGTTTTATCTGAATACTATTGAAAGTCATATTATCTGTTTTCGATAAGTTGACCTCAGTAAACTTTTTTTTTTGTTGTTGTAAAGTTTCTATTAAAAAAAATGTTATTTTACTGTATATAATGAATTACTTTTGAACAAAAAGTAAACGATCCGAAAGAAATGAATTTTAATGTATTTGATCTAGGGTGGCGTTACAGGTATGACTTTTTAGTACTTGCTTTTTTAAACTGTCCGTTCCCAATAAAGTTCCCGCATGTTCAAACCTAATAATCTGAGCAGAAAATCCGGAATTGACACTAATGGCCCCGTCGTAGAAATGTAGGAAACAGTGACAATAATCTCCTTTATATACAAGTGTTACTAATGTTACGTTACTTGGGGCAATTATGATAATATAACAGACTAATTAATATGTGTGTAGACATGGTCGTGTATTTGATACACAATGGAAAATATTAAATTATGTCACACTAAATTATAATTGCTAGATATTCTGTCAAGATATTGTCGAATGGTAAAATTACTCTATTCAAACTTTGAGCACAGAAAACCCGTCAAAGTATCTTACTGGGAAAATGGAAACTTAATACTGAAAACAAATGATTTGTTTTGGTTATTAATGCTACAAAACTATACATTTATACTCACAACTATTACGTTGATATTTCAAGCAGAGAATAGTGCCTTAATAAACACACATGGTAGGACTCTTATTTTCCAAGTGCTGTTTTTGGACTCGTCTCTGATCATTTGAAAAACTGAAAACAGATCTTGTTAATTTTTTATGATTTTTTATTACTGGCATTCAAAGATAAAGTCTTTATTTTTGGCATTTTTTTTCAAAAATTATTTGCTATGCATTGATGAAGTTTTGAACTTTCAACTTCACCAAACAATCTAAATTCCCTGATCAGATGTGAATTAAACCCGATAAGAGTTGAGCGCAATATGTGCCTCGAGGCATGCCAGTGGCGGTATGTTAGATGTAAGGGCGCTACTATCTGTTTGACGATTGAATGCGTTAACTACTAAGGTTTTAAGTAGTCGGGGATAAATTAGAGTTCCAGGAACACGGGATATTCGATCAATAGGATTTCGTGTAATCCGAGGAATATATAAGAATACGGTCGGGACCAAGCGAACTATTCGAGGAACAATGGGTATTCGAGTGATGCGAGTTCGAGTAAGTGGGTTTTCACGGAACCTCAATTACACAGGCTAGTTTTCAAGCAGAGCTTAAAGAGCAAGTATGGGAGAAATGAAGAAGTATTGTTTTTAACATTTTCTTTCAAAATTGCGCCTATTAAAACTTATTGACAGTTCTGAACTAGTTTTTGTGTAAAAAATAGTATCCTCATATAGTTTTATTGCTTTATTAAAGTGTCTTGAACGAAATATGAGATTTGCTGTGAGGTTTCCATTTTTGTTATTGTCGCCTATGTTCTTTGTCCTATTTTTTACTACATGTAGATTTCAAGAAAATCGAACTAATGAAAACCATTACTTTAAAATACAAGGCTAAAAAGGACAGGATAACAACAACCGTCACATTTGCTTAGAGTTGCAAGGGGAGTATCAAACCCCGGAGTGAGATTCTTGAATGTTTTATCCTCGACTTGAAGCAAGCCTCGGTTTCGAAAATCACGTTTAACGACGCTCGGGATAAGAATTCGCTGCAGAGGCTATTCCTTTGGTCCTTTTGTACCGACTTCGACTACCGATATCTGTCTATAGTGTTGATTTTTATTTTACCTTTGAGAGGCCATTGTATTCAACCACCAGCATGTCTGTAAAGTTTAACTATATTAACGCTCAACTGACAAAGAAAATGTAGTTAGCTAAGACGAATATATATATATATCTCCTCAAAAGAATATAATAGCATGTTATGGCTTCTTCATACATGCCACAAGTAAATATTTAATTCAATTAACAATGCGTATTATCATATGCATGAACATTCTCGCAATCACATTGGTCAGATCCTATACACGTGACCAGTCCTCAAAAACTCATGTAGACTGGTTATCCGGTGAATATCGATTTCTAAATATAGCCTGTATGGAAATTCCCCGGAACCTGTCGTAGCGCATGCGCAGTAAGACCGGAACGCGATATGTCAGACGACATTAGAAGATGGCTGCTGACGAACTTTTCTCCTCCGTTACATGAGAAAAAAACTGTTTGTTTGTTTGTTTGTTTGTTTATGTTTAACGGCCCATCGACGGCTGTGGTCATTTAGGGCCATGGTGATTTATTTATTTATTTTACTTTTTTAACAAACATGTGAATAGCGAAGATAAAATAAGATAAAATGGTTCATTTTAAAAGTATTCGCATTGTATGTGTAGATAATAAAAAANATTCTTGAATGTTTTATCCTCGACTTGAAGCAAGCCTCGGTTTCGAAAATCACGTTTAACGACGCTCGGGATAAGAATTCGCTGCAGAGGCTATTCCTTTGGTCCTTTTGTACCGACTTCGACTACCGATATCTGTCTATAGTGTTGATTTTTATTTTACCTTTGAGAGGCCATTGTATTCAACCACCAGCATGTCTGTAAAGTTTAACTCTATTAACGCTCAACTGACAAAGAAAATGTAGTTAGCTAAGACGAATATATATATATATCTCCTCAAAAGAATATAATAGCATGTTATGGCTTCTTCATACATGCCACAAGTAAATATTTAATTCAATGAACAATGCGTATTATTATATGCATGAACATTCTCGCAATCACATTGGTCGGATCCTATACACGTGACCAGTCCTCAAAAACTCATGTAGACTGGTTATCCGGTGAATATCGATTTCTAAATATAGCCTGTATGGAAATTCCCCGGAACCTGTCGTAGCGCATGCGCAGTAAGACCGGAACGCGATATGTCAGACGACATTAGAAGATGGCTGCTGACGAACTTTTCTCCTCCGTTACATGAGAAAAAAACCTATTCGAGGATAAAGATTCTGTTAACATAAAAAGGGCCATTGAACACGCAGTGCATGTCCTCCATGCTTATCTTATAAAACCTACCTAGATGATGTATTCGAAAGATACGATGCTAAACTGTTGAATTCAATCCTGGAGAAATTTTATTCGGAGGCTCACGTACAAAAAGCAGAACCTTGAGTTTTGTTTTGTTTTGTTTTATTTTATTGTTGAAGCATATGATAAAACAGTTATGGCTTTTGTGCTGGTAAATATGATGTGATATGAACCTGAAAAAGTGATGTTGACCGAGGCGAACACTGTTTAAGGATCATATCACATCATATTCACCAGCACAAAAGTCCATAACTGTATAATATTTGATAGATAGTCATGCTCTACGTGCGTTAGAACTTTATATCTATAGTAAACTTAATACTAATCTATTTTTGGAATTGAATTACGAATATGTACGTAAAATATCTGACCTTTGCATGTCAGTGTGGACCATCATAAAAACATAAGGCTGCAAATCTTGACCTTTGTTTGACCTTCTACAATATAGGAAATGACCGCGTAACTTCGTTTTCCCGTTAGTTATTATCAAAATATTTGAAAGAGACGTTTTAACCTACAGGCTACAGTTTTGGTGTTGATTCAGAAATAGAAAATACGATATGTACAAAGAAGTGCAAACTTAAATGATCAGATAGGCCATGATGGACCAGTGGAAGTCAAGATATAAAAGTTCCTGCATAAAAAAGGTTGATGGTGAAGTTAAATTGAGAAAAAACAAATGTATTTTTTTCATGTGTTTTTTGCGTGTATTTTCAGTATTTGGACCAGAGGTGGTACATGTAGAAATAAACGTTTTTGGCACACGTTGTATTCACGTACCAGTTGCCTTGTTAAAGCATGCTGTACTTGCAACTACTAGCATAATGATACACAGTTTGATCAGCTTAAGGCAAGTAGCCGAACCAAAATCTAAGTATGTGTACACGTGTCAGGTCAGAACACCAAACATCGCTATTAAGTCAAGCTATCATGTATCTATCTAACACTGCACAGGTTGGAATCAATATTCCCCATCAGGTACAAAAATATACAAAAACTATTATAAATAACTTAAGAGAAACGGTTGTTGCTGTAACAAACTGTTCAACTTGCAACCTAAAAACAAACACAGGAATGTTCTCAGACAATGAATATTAAATATATTATATACGTTTTGATTCTTAAAAAATAGCCTGTGCTCAAAAC